CAATCTGTGTTCGTCTAGTCTCTGTTGGAGGAGGTGTATTGGAGACCCACATCGGCTAGACTCCGACCATTTCTCTTGAATATATGTTGCAACTTCCCTATTTCTATTCAAGGGATCTTTTGGAGAGTAATCTAATGGGGTTAACGATAAAAAAAGTCCATATTTGTATGTCAAGTGCTTAGCGGTCAAGAATTGATTCATCTTTTGGTTCTTTCGTACGTTTGTGTGCATTTTGTACTACCCGTTCTTATTAGATTGTTTCTTTTTAAAGGAATTTGCAACGGAAGCACGATCGGGATATGCTATGGAAGAAATGCAGATGATCTCCCAACTCCGGAAAAGGCAGTAGAGCTCATTAAAAATCTAAACATCAATTCTGTTCGGATATATGATTCCAACATCCAAGTACTCAAGGCCTTTGCAAACACCGGCATTGAGCTCATGATTGGCATCCCAAATTCCGACCTTTTGCCATTTTCCCAGTTTCAAACCAATGCCGACACCTGGTTAAAGAACAACATCCTCCCTTACTACCCCGCCACTAAAATCACTTACATAACCGTCGGTGCTGAAGTCACCGAAGCCCCAACTAACGTCTCGGCCATGGTGGTTCCTGCCATGACAAATGTCTATACCGCCCTCAGAAAAGCCGGTTTGCATAGAAAGATCAAAGTCTCGACCACCCATTCTTTAGGGGTTTTATCTCGTTCATACCCACCTTCAGCTGGCGCTTTCAACAGTAGACACGCTGGTTTCTTGAAACCGTTGCTCGAGTTTCTTGCAGAAAAGCAGTCGCCTTTTTTGGTCAATACGTACCCGTATTATGCATATAGAGATTCATCGAGCAACGTTTCGTTAGACTATGCTCTTTTCGAGTCTTCATCTGAAGTAATCGATCCAAACACGGGTTTGCTCTACACGAACATGCTCGATGCACAAATCGACTCCATTTACTTCGCTCTCATGGGTCTGAACTTCAAGACCATCAAGATTATGGTCACCGAAACGGGCTGGCCTTCTAAAGGATCTCCTAAAGAAACCGCAGCCACACCCGAAAACGCGCAGACTTACAACACTAATCTGATACGCCACGTCATCAACAACACAGGTACGCCCGCTAAGCCCGGGGAGGAGCTCGATGTTTACATCTTTTCGTTGTTTAACGAGAACCGAAAGCCCGGATTGGATTCAGAACGGAACTGGGGTTTGTACTACCCTGATCAGACAAGTGTTTACAATATCGATTTTAGTGGGAAGGGGACTGTGGATGTGAATACGGGTGGGAACTTGACGACCGTAAACGGGACTTCGTGGTGCATTGCTTCGCCTACGGCTTCGGAGAAAGACCTACGGAATGGGTTAGATTGGGCTTGTGGGTCGGGGAACGTGGATTGCTCGCCGATTCAGCCGAGCCAGCCGTGTTTTCAACCAGATAGTTTAGTATCGCATGCATCTTATGCTTTCAACAGTTATTATCAGCAAAATGGAGCTACTGATATTGCTTGCAGCTTTGGAGGAACAGGGGTCAAAACCAACAAGAATCCAAGTAAGTATAATTTCCTAGTTTCCTTGTACAGATAGAATTATAGGGTGAGTTTGGTATCCAGACAGTACAACACAGTTGTTCAGCGTTTGGTAAGACAGAGTTAGAAATGGTAGAACTGAAAATGACAGAACAAATAAAATGACTAATTTACCCCTAATGAGCTATTTATATATTTTGATTAATTTATGTAATTTACTAAAATATAATAAAATAAATATTTTCCATAAGAAAATATATTATTAGAAAGTTTTGACACCGAAATAAAAAGTTTATTTTGTACCTTTTCTATATTATTTTTTTATTATTACTAATATTTAATAAATTACATAAATTAATCAAAATATAGAAACCATATAAAAATAATATATTGAGGATAGTAAAATGAAAGTTTAAAGAGCGTAAAATACAATAGATAAAATTTAAAGAATGAATAGAATATAAAGAGGGAGACGTGTTTGATGTTTAGAAGAGAATCAGGTTCTATTTTGAGTTTTTTATATTGGTAAAATATAGGTTTGTTCCATCTTGTTCTATGAGGTGGGGGTGGAACAAGCCTGTTCCACTTTGTTCCTGTTGTTCCATATAAAAAGTCATGCAAAACGTGAACGATGATCCTTGTTCAGTCATGTCCAGTGTACCAAACGCACTCTTACAGGACTTAAGTTTATAGGATCAAATAACTGTGTTGTATGTTAAGTGTGTCACAATAGCATGTTAGGACGTATTTGGACATCCTGACAAGTTTTTAGGACATTTTTCAAATAATGTTATATGAAAAGACTAATAAGACCCTCTATTTCAAAAGTAACCTAAAAGAACTTGTTAAGACTCCCATAAACGTTTTATTAACTTATTGTAACACCGATATGTAAGATGCATAATTGTTTGATCCTTAAGTACTAAGAGATATATTTGGTGTCTTATAAAGCCGATTTTGTGATAGTGACGTTTGACTAGTTGAGTTCAGTCATATAATACCATATGGGTATACAACTATATATAAGTTCAAAATCATATAAAAACCTCCTACATGTCAGAAAATCTATGAGCCAATATCGACCATACATTTTTAACTTTCATAATTATCTTATTAATTATATTATTGATTTTCCCCTTCTCTCTCTCTCTCTCTCTCTCTCTATATATATATATATATATATATATATATATATGTAGAGAGAGAGAGTTGGGATCATGAGTGACCAACTTGTTTTCTCTATATATATTGATATATATATATATGGTCTTGAGTAGCTCAAAGGTTTAAATATTTTGGGAACCCGGAAACCACCTATTTTATGTAGTATTCATGATGAATATCTATCATGTTAGTCATCATAAATATTACATAAAATAGGTGGTATTTAGATTCTCAAAATATTTAAGTTTCCTAAATGAACCTGCCACTTATATGCCAACTTAATTGTCTATTCCTAACCTTTATCTTCGCATGCACAGGTTACGACAATTGCTTGTACATGACAGCCGGGTACGTACACTCATCAGATGCTATAAATGCCAAAATAAATAACCACAATGAAAAAATGGTAGACGGTTTTAGAAATGTGTAATCACTACTACACTTTTTTGTAACTAACTAGTGACGATTCTACCTTAATTATAACGGTAGAATTGAAAACTAGACGCTCTTTTTTAAACTAAAACATAAATATGGACACCTAACCACAAGGGTGGTGCCTGATTGGTTTGAGTTTGGCTCCAAAGGTCAAAAGTACCAGGAGGTTCCAACTCCCAGGTTCAAATCCAATGAGAAATAAAAATCCCCTTGTGGCCATGGAGGTTCAAATGCGGTGACTCCGGGCTATCTGCAAAGCAGGTGATCACCCTGGGATTAATCTGCTTGCATAGCGGGTTGGATATCCAGGTTAATAAAAAAAATGGACATTTACAGCTTTGCTCGCGTGTTTTTATATGCAGGAGCAAGAAAACCACTGCAAGTAACGTAACTGCAAATGCAACTTCGTCGGCAGGTCAACGAGAGGTTTCAGCCCCAAGTGCTTATTGTCTACTCGTAATCTTTCTCGTGTTGATCCAATCGCTCTAAATTAAACCCATGTCTAAAGTGGACTCGATCGGGTTTTAAGTAATTTGTGGGTTCCCTTAGTTTTGTATGATAAGGTAGGAAATTGTTGTAAACATGTACCCATCAAGTGTATTAAAGCTTAGCTGCATGTTTATTTATGCATTTACTTTTGTTTAGACCCTCAAATCATTTATGCTTTCAATTGTGTCACGTCATTTTTATAATTATCATCTGTACTGTATATATGTAATTTACCTACACTTTCGAAAATGGTCTCCTGCTGTAACATTTATTAAGTATTTTATAAATTATTAATATACATTCTAATTATTTTTAGTTAATAAACACATGGTATGTAAATTTATTAATATTATATGTTTAATATGTATAATTATAATTTTAGGTAAAGTTCAACGTTTAAATTAATTTAACTATATTGTAATTGTAATAAGTAATTTAATAAAAAAATAAATTAACATTACTAATTCATAAAATATATTGTCTTATATAAAATAACTAATTTAAATAACGAAAAAGGAAAAAGAAAATTGCAATTGGTTTCGCAAAGAGTTTGAAACCGATGTGTTGATGGTATTAGGATCAAGATTCCTATACTCGGATATAATAATAATTTTGCAGTATCATGATTTGTGAGAAGACGAGACGTTTAAAGATCATATGTGATACAGAGATGTTGCGTTGATCGGTCATAAAATGAGCGAACCTTTCCAACGACACGACCAAAGTCACCTGCATCCTTTTGGACATACTGTATCACATATGATTTTGCCTTCTTTCTTTCATGCATGTTTGTAATTTTGTATCTTTTTATCTAAAGAAGGTTGCGTTACATAGGTTTCATGTGTTTGGAAGCAAGTAAATATTATCTAAATTAATTGTTTAAACAAGACAAATTGAACATTACAAAGGGGACTTTTTCTGATCATAAATGATGATTAAGCATATAATACGTCATGACCCAATGTACAGTTTTTATAATACCATATTTGAGATTTCTTACGTTTTTAATATGTAACTTAATTTAAATTGTTTAGTAATAGTAAACAACAATGTGCGTGTGTGTATATTTATTGTATATATATTCATATATACAAATTTACATTCATAAGTCAGGTCATGACCTCATTAACTCCAAAGGTTTAAGACTTGACCTCACCATCACAAAATTGCTTTACACCATTTGAAACCTTGGAGAACATGGTCTCTTTAAATAAGAGTTAATCGGGTAAGAATGTAAGGTGATGTTTGATTCACAAAATGGAATATGTCAGAATCAGAACTTGTCAAATGAATTGAGATCTAATGAAATTAGAATGTAACTTAATCATGTCTGATCATGCGTTTGGTTGGCAAAAATTGATGTGGAATCTGTCAAAAGAATTTGAAGATGCCTGCTTGATTCAACGAATGCATTAGTAGTGTAGATGGTAGTAGTGGTAGCAACGTTGATGGTAGCGGTGGTAGTGGTGCTGGTAGTGGTAGTGAGAGTGATGATGACTATGGTGATAGTGGTAGCGATGATTGTGGTGATGATGGTAAGGAGAAGACGACGCTGGCAACAACAATGGTAGTGGCAGAGATGGTGGCAATGGCAATGGTAGTGGGAGAGATGGTGGCAACGACAATGGTAGTGGCAGAGACGGTGGCAACAACGATGGTGGGATAGAATAAATACAAAAGTATAATGATTTTTATTTAAGAGATGATATGAAAGAATTGAATTCCTTGCTATAACTCAAGGAATTTCCTTACCAATAGTAAGCTGACATTTAGTTTGCAGAATGTTTTTAGATGGAATGAAATCTGTCAAAATAAAACTATCTGTGAAAAAATTAGAATCGAATGGCGGGTTTTTACCCCCTATTTTGTGGAATTAGATGGGTTTGAAGATTCCTTTCCCTAAAAGAAAATGAACTAAAAGGAATTCAACATTCCAATTCCATCAGATTCTTTCATGAAAGAATCTGATAACCAAACGCTACCTAACAAATGAATCAAACCGATGAATGGAATTGACCGTTCCAATTCCTTCAAATCTCGTCGGTCGGATTCCAACGAACCAAAGAAATGAACTTGTACGATATTATCACAAAAGTTGATTAAGAAATCAAGTGAGATTTTAAACTTTTTCTCAACCAAACAAACCAGAACTCGTAGAAATACAAAGTCTGGATATGCAAAAACGAAAAACAATGAATGACAGATTTGTTTACAATGGAAACAGATTGTACGATATTATCACAAAAAGTTAATTAAGAAATTGAGATCATAGAACACATACCAAATCCAACTAAAAACCTTGGTCCACCAGATAGTCACCCAGCCTTTCCACGATCGTGTTACATTGAGATGGAGCCATCGGCTCATCGTAGATGCCAACAATCAAAGCCATCCCAGTCTTCTTAATGGTCACGCCTCCGGGACCCTATACACAAATTACATCCATCAAAACCTAGCAACTAATACCAAAGGTTTCTCCAACTTGCAAAGCTAAACATGTAAGCCTAAGGGGCAGTTTACCAAACCCTTACTGCACAAGCGGCTATTGGGTGTCGCTTACCTTATCGGATGATGAGCATGGAAATGACAGTGAATCTTATCTAGCAAGAGGCAAAGGAAATAGCGAGAATCTTACCCTGTAAGTGAGGGTGAAGATTCTTAACCTGTTAGTGCTTATTGGGTAAAAGACGCTTACCAACAATTTATTTTGATGGCAAAAAATGTTATCTGATAAGATAAGTGAGGGTGGTGACTCTTGCAGGTAAGTGTTTGGTAAACAATCTCCAAGTTTGGACGATGAATGTGTAATAACATGATGAAAGCCAAATGAATTGTGATCTGAACCGTATGTAAGAACACTGTGTATGTACATGTGAATAAAATATGATAGACTAAGTTCTCCAAACATCGTACTTAGTTCTTCATTGCACTATTTGAGAAAATGCAAAGATAAAACAGCTTTGTACGAATGAGCAATTTCACACAAACTATGAAATGCAAAATGCAAAAAAGACAACATTCATACTTGGGATGCAAGATTCCACATGCATGAAAAATGAGTAGTAAATTTGTTTTATTACAAGAACCATGGTCATTTTGCAACAACAATACTAGTATGAGCCTATGAGGGCAGGAAAAATTTATCACGCTAAAAAAATGCCTGCGTTTGCGTATATATACCCCATCCGAAGGTGGGGTGTTTTTTTTTGGGGGGGGGGGGAAGTAGGCAGACCTGATCTCAAGAAGTAGAGCAGTTATTTCAAAAGCAACAACAGGGTAAATTCATCACCTTTTTGCCTCGAATAACAGCTCCTGCCTCTCCTTGAATCACCATATACTTGGTCCCACCAAGGTGTAAGCCGGTTGGAGCAAGTGAGCCAGGCTCATTGAAGTCGTTAATGATACCAGTTACTTCCTCTGGCTTCACCTGTAGAGCATCGATCAAACACTTGTTTAAAGATGATGACAAACATTTTTTTGATTTGATGACAATAACGAACAAATAGTTCCTCAAAACCATTTTCTTCAATCAATCTATCCAAGAAACAGATCCCTTTTCTTCATATTTGCTAAAAGTTTTAACTTGAGACAAAGAAAACTACCTATTTGGAACTGATTAATGTTAGGGTCAGACATCCAACATGTTGTGAATTGGATATTGGAGCCCAAAGGCCATGAAAAACATGATGAAGGCGTAAACATAACAATTTTCCTAGCAAGGCTACCAAGAGAGCCCATATTGCACGTTCGTCTGGGAGCTACAAGACCCTAAGGTGGGTTTGGTTCATAGAAGGGGCTGGAAGGGTGAGAGTGAGGTAGATGGGTGAAAGAAATATGCACGGTTTTTTTGGGTTTTTATTTGATGCGGGTAGTTTAGTAATCGACCAATCTTTTGCCACCTATTTTGGTATGCATTTTTGTACCACTTGGTCATTTTCTGTCCAGTCTAAATGTCGCACCAAACATAGAACAACAAACTTTTGTTTTGTCTCGCTCGTCCTGTTCCACGTACCAAACGCACCCTCAAACGTAAGACAAGTTTTTGTCCTATCTGTTTAGTCCTGTCCCACATACCAAACCCACTACCTACCATCAAGTAATAACAACTCTGTAACAAAACAATACCCACAGATGAACCCACAAATAGAAGGTAAATACAAGTAGCTGAGAGTCTTAAAACTGTCAATCACATACATATACATTCTACTTAAGCTTCCTTTAGGGTTTCCTCTGTTTCAGGTTGACAAACTCTCAGCTTGGATTTATGAGATTTAACCTCAATAAATCATTGATTAAAATGGACATCTTCCAAATTACACTGTTTCACAGGTGAACATCATTAAGCCACTCTGGTATCCCTGGCTCAGGAATCTTTTTTTCATAATATTCAGAACTCCACCCCCAAAAGCATTCAGTGTGTCACAGCTCACAAGGATAACCATGGTTCAATTACAATCATTCATCGGACACTTGGTTCAAACAAACAACCAGCAGTGGCAGATCTATGATTTTTGCCCAACAAGTGCAGCCAAATTCCAGCATTACGAGGATTTTTTTTAAGTTTTTTGATTGATTTAAAGATATTTTTTTTTTAGTTTTTCAGTTGATTTCAAGGGCTGTTTTTTTTGGTAGATTTTGGAAGACTTTGTCTTTTAGTTTTTGAGGAACTTTTTTGGATTTTTGGTTGATATTTGTTGTTATTTCTAATATTCCAAAGCACCGTTCAACTTTTAATGGGTGCATCTTCTGTCCCCAAAACGTTTTTCCTTACAAAATAAGATTAGCGGGTGCAAATACGATAGAATGGGTGCACGAGACCCGCTCGAGATCTGATAGGTCCGCCACTGTCAACCAGGAATCCTCAAACCAAAAACTCTATAGTGTAGATCCACTCATATCATCATGCATGCCACCGATTAATAGTTTCATCACGTTTTTCACCATTTCAAACAAAAACAATAGTAATGTCTTTATTTTCCAATTCAACTTTACTCAGATTTGGATTCTGGAACCTTCAGATAAAATTAAATGTAAGAATAAGACCATATCTGTATAACAATTGGTAAAGAGAATCAAATCAAATCAAGCAAAAACTCGTCCAATTTTAGTTATTCGCAACCTAAAATTTTTTATCCTAGGGATAGGCGAGACATCATGCAAGTTAAGCACTAGCTACCGAAACTAATCCCTTTACACCTTAACAGCAATGAAACCAGTTATAATATTCGAAATCGACACTAACAAACGATTTCAACCAACACATCATCGACTCATCGAGCCCTAAACCAGATCAACGAATCAACCATTCTAAACACAACGATCAAACTCTCAGAAAACTAAACAAATCTGAAACTAAACAGTACCGATATAGATCAGATCCGAAGCTTAATCAACAACAAACAATGAAGAACAGGTCAACTGAATAAAAATCGATGTACATATGAAATTTTTACGTGATTTAATGGATTAGAGATGGACCTGAGGGAAATTAGCGGATTGAGCCCAGATACTGCCGTCATGGCCGAGGATAGCGGCGGATGAGAGGTGGTTGCCTTCGATCTCGCACATCAAATGGTCATCGACGTAAGCTTGCCACGACATGTTATCCGATTATCGCTCTCGATCGCTCGAAATTTTCACCAAAAATCGTAGAACGCGCCTCAGCAGTCGTGGTGGGGATGGAAATAAATATAGCGTGGAAACAACGAAACTGTGGTGTGCATTTATGAAATTTTCACAGTAATTTACATGTTTGGTCCTTGTAGTTTGAAAAAAGTCACAAGTTAGGTTCTTAATTTGCTAAATATACGAATTAGGTCCTTTGATTATTATTTTACAAAGAGTAAACCATCATTAATACCCCTGACAGGTTCCAGTTCAAATCCAAATAGGTATAAAAATCCCCTTTTGGTCAGGGAGATTCAAATGCGGTAATTCTGGGCTACCCGCAAAATAGGTAGTCGCTTTGAGATTAGTCGACTTGTATAACGGGTTGGATATCCAAGTTAATCAAAAAAAATTTGTAAGGGAATCTTTAAAATAGAAAAAGTTGGAGACCTTGAGAATTTTGGATAAATATTTTACTCTAGCAGATACTTCAAAACTTTTTTCAAAATGGAGGGATGATATATTCCAAATAAAATAAAGTAAAAGTTCATGGTTCAATTTGGACTGATATCTATAATGTCGTTATTTTGTTTTGATTAACCTGGATATCCAATCTGCTATGCGAGCCGACTAATCCCAGAACGACCACCTGTTTTGCGGGTAGCCCGGAGTCACTGTATTTGAACCTCCATGACCATAAGGGGATTTTTATTCCTCTTTGGATTTGAACTTGAAACATCCAGGCACTTTGACCTTTGAAGCCTAAGCTCAAACCAATTAGGCACCACCCTTATGGTTACTTGGTATTCACATTGTTTGGTAGCCTTATATTTTCTTTACACGCTCAGTTTCATCTTTATATTAAAAACATATCATGTATAGATACAGTATTTTGAAATCAAATCAAGCAATTGAAAATGCAATTTTTTAACGATCAAATCACTTTCGACATAATTAAATCAACATATGTTGCCTGCAGTTCATTTTACCCGAACTTTCTAATATTCATACTGATATCTTTTCCTTATGCAATTCCGTATCTCTTTTTTCATGTTGACATTTCGTATTGTTGACCTTCCTATTCATATATGAAGCATTTATACTCAAATATTCACGAAATGAAAGAAACACTTGTATGCCATGTTTGACAACCATAAGTTATCATATAACCTAGCTACTTAGGTTGTGGCACACTCGTTAACCCTCAGGGGGATTTAGTGGATATAGAAAATCTAATTACTCTGGGTTCGAATCCAACGCTACCAAAGCCCTTGTGGCCATGGTCCATGGAGGTTCACCTGTGATGACTCCAGACCATTTGTGGTCAATCAGGAGATTGGTCGAAGCATGTAAACCGGTCAGAGACCCATGCTTACTAAAAAAAGGTTAAATATATAACCTATCATCTATACTGTATTATAAAGCATTGACAAAAACTCTTAAAAACCATTTTTTATGCGTAAAGTATTGTTTATTAATGCATATTACTTAAAACTCAAGATTACAAGTAGATTGTGCGTAAGTACAACTTATTAAAGCTCCATATCTGAATTCGTGTAACTAACTG